TTTCTTTCATGTACTATCTTCAAATCCTCTTAGAAAAAAGGTTTCTCCATTCCTATAACTATGTTACGGTGCCAATTTACAAAATTGGCGGAGGAAGCTCATACATATATAACCAGGACCTGCTTGTATTGTATAGCCTTTCATAGAAATTAGTCTCCTATAAAATGGAGTACTCAAATAACTATCCAACAAAACAACCAAGAATCCCTGCTAGAAAACAATATAAATATATATATATATATATAAATGCATATTGTTGGGTTTTAAACTTTATTTGAATAAAAGAAAATAGAAAATGAAAGGTTTTTTTGGTGAAGAGGTGTGTCTCTTAGGAATTTGTTAGTGGACATTAATGAGTTTAAAGTTTCTAAGAAGTAGTCATTAATGTGTTTAGATTTCCTAAGTTAGTCATTAGTATTTCTAGTTATTTGCTATTGCTTTTAAATAGTACCATGTAAATCATTTGAATGTAAGGCTTGAATGTTAAAAGATATACAAAGAGGTATATTCAGAGAACTCCTTGTGTGAGTGAAGTGTTTGAGAGAAACACCATTAGAGGACCTGCGATTCACAAATTGGCATCAGAGCTTGAGTTATGGAGAGTGTGAGCACTTCCAGTATGTCGTTGCCCCGCCTGACAAAGGCGAATTACGTGAATTGGAGTATCCAGATGAAGGCGTTGCTCGGATCCCAGGATGCTTGGGATGTTGTTCAGGACGGTTTTGCTGAACCTGCAACCACCGCAGGATACTCAGCAGCTCAAACCAAGGCGTTGAAAGAGACGCGTGCGAAGGACAAGTCAGCCTTATACACGCTTTTCCGAGCTGTAGACGAGTCCGGATTTGAGAAGATAGCAGGAGCAACGACGTCTAAGGAAGCATGGGACATCTTGAAAATGTCTATAAAGGTGCTGACCGAGTAAAGCAGGTCCGACTTCAAACTCTACGTGGCGAGTTGGAAGGCATGAAGATGAAAGATTCAGAGGGTGTATCCGAGTTCATCACCCGCGTTCAAGCCGTGGTGAATTAGTTAAAGCAGAATGGTGAGGAATTATCTGAGACTAGAGTTGTTGAAAACGTGGTATGTGCAATTGAGGAGTCGAAGGACTTGACTACGCTTTCTGTTGAAGAGCTAGCAGGTTCTCTTGAGGCGCATGAGCAGCGCAAGAAGAAGAAAAAGGAGGAGTCGCTGGAGCAAGCACTCCAGACAAAAGCAAACATTAAAGATGAGAAGGCGCTCTATTCTCAAAATGTCCGAGGTAGAGGTCGTGGACGAGCTGGACGTGGAAATGGCCGAGGTGGTCGTGGCCGAGGTCATGAGGTGAGAAATGAAGAAAGAGCTGAGTCGAGTCAGAGAGGAAGAGGACGTGGCCGAGGTGGAAGAGGCCGGTGGTCAAATCAAACAAATGTGGAATGTTACAAGTGTGGCAAGTATGGCCATTACTCGAGAGATTGCAACTCGGACAAGTGTTACAACTGTGGCCGAGTTGGGCATTTCGCTAAGGATTGCCGAGATGAAAGAAAAGTTGACGAGGCTTCAAACCTCGCTGTAGAAGGAGATGGAGGAGTTCTTATGCTAGCCCATGGTGAAACCAGTTCAAAGAATGAGACGGAGTGGTATTTGGATACCGGTGCCAGTAATCACATGTGTGGTTACAAACACTTGTTTAAGGAGTTGAAGACGGTGGAAGCCGGACATGTCTCTTTTGGAGACGCATCCAAGATTGAAGTAAAGGGTCGAGGTACGATCTATTTCTTGCAAAAGGATGGACGAGTTGGTACAATCCGGGACGTGTATTACGTGCCCGAGCTCAAAAGTAACATATTGAGCATTGGACAGCTGATGGAGAAGTCTTACTCGGTTCTAATGACAGACCGAGTTCTACTGTTGAAAGACAAACAAGGGCGTCTGATAACCCGAGTTCAGAAGGAAAAGAACAGAATGTACAAGCTGAGTCTAAGGAGCATGGAGGTCGGCTGTCTTCAAGCCGGGGTAGAAGATAAGATGGACTTGTGGCATAGACGGTTTGGACACCTTCATTATGGTGGTCTGACCGAGATGATGAAGAAGGACATGGTAGTGGGACTACCGAAGATTAATTCTGAAGGAAGATTTTGCGAGGACTGCGTATTGGGAAAACATGCGAGAAGCCCGTTCCAAAGGATGGCAAGATACCGAGCTAGGCAGCCTCTGGAGTTGATACATACCGACCTGTGTGGACCCATTACTCCGGGGTCTTTCAGTGGTAAGAAGTATTTTGTAACCTTTATTGATGATTTCAGTCGAAAGACTTGGGTATATTTTTTGAAGGAAAAATCCGAGGTGCTAGAGGCATTCAGGAGTTTTAAAACAATGACAAAGAATGGTACTGGAAGATACATCAAGTCGGTCTGCTCAGACCGAGGTGGGGAGTACGTGTCAATAGCTTTCAAGAAGTATTGTGAAGAACATGGGATAAGGCGGTTCCTGACCACTCCGTATTCGCCCCAGCAAAATGGAGTAGCTGAGAGAAAGAACCGGACTATCCTGGATATGGTCCGATCTATGCTAAAAACGAAGAACATGCCAAAGGAGTTCTAGGGAGAAGCCGTGCATTGTGCCGTGTACGTGCAAAACCGATGTCCGCACTCAAGTGTGAATGATAAAACTCCACAAGAAGCATGGAGTGGTCTAAAGCCATCAGTGGCTCATTTCAAGATTTTTGGTAGTGTTGCGTATGCACACATACCCGATCAATTGAGGACAAAGCTAGAAGATAAAAGTAAGAAGTATGTGTTTATTGGCTATGATGAGAAGACGAAGGGGTACAAGTTGCTGGACCCCGTCAATAAAAAGGTGTTGGTGAGCCGAGATGTAAAAGTGAATGAGGAAGATGGATGGGACTGGAGTAGTCCATCCGGGGTCAATGTGGAACCCAGACTAAAATCAATTGAGGTCGGACAACCTTCGACCCGGATTCCTGAGAATTCGAATGACTCAGATAGTGATGAAGAGCAGAGACAACCGAGATTGAGGAGTCTACAAGATTTGTATGATTCCACCAGTGAAGCACACTTGGTATGTCTATTGGCAGATTCTGAAGAAGTAAGCTTTGAAGAAGCAATCCGAGATGAGAAATGGCAATCAGCCATGGAGGAGGAAATAAAGGCGATAGAAAAGAACAAGACGTGGGAGTTAGCCGAGCTGCCCAGAGGAAGTCGGCCCATTGGTGTGAAATGGGTCTACAAGAAGAAAATGAACGCTAAGGGAGAGATCGAAAGATACAAAGCCCGGCTAGTGGCGAAAGGGTATAGGCAGAAGGCTGGCATTGATTATGACGAGGTGTTCGCACCCGTAGCAAGAATGGAGACAATCAGGCTGTTGATCTCTCAAGCAGCCCAATTCGGATGGCCGATCTATCAGATGGATGTGAAGTCGGCATTCTTAAATGGAGTACTCGAAGATGAGGTATATCTGGAACAACCTCCGGGATTCATGAAAGCCAGACAAGAAAGAAAAGTGTTGAGACTGAAGAAAGCTTTGTATGGATTGAAGCAGGCCCCAAGAGCCTGGAACACAAGAATTGACAATTACTTCAAGAAGGATGAACTTGAACAATGTCCATATGAACATGCATTATATGTGAAGAAGAAAGGAGGTAAAATTCTACTTGTTGCTCTATATGTTGATGATATGATTTTCTTGGGTAATGATGAAGGGATGATTCAAGATTTTAAGAAGAAAATGACGAAGGAGTTCGAGATGACGGATCTCGGTCTGATGAGGTATTTTCTTGGTCTGGAGGTCAGACAAGACAAATCCGGGATCTTTGTCTCTCAGGAAGCCTATGCAAAAGGAATTTTAGAGAAGTTTAAAATGACAGACTGCAACCCGGTTTCAACGCCAATGGAACCCGGGTTGAAGCTTTCAAAGTATGATGGAGGAGAGAGAGTTGATCCGAGTTACTACCGGAGTCTAGTTGGAAGTCTGAGATATTTGACGTGTACGAGGCCGGATCTGTGTCTGAGTGTTGGAATCATAAGTCGATTTATGGAAGACCCGGGGTACACTCACTGGAAGGCGGCTAAGAGAATTCTGAGATATGTGAAGGGAACAACCTCATAAGGACTTCATTACTCGAAGTCGGACAAATACAAGTTGACGGGTTATTCAGACAGTGATTGGTGCGGAGATGTTGATGATAGAAAGAGCACGGCTGGCTATGTGTTTTTCATGGGAAACACGGCTTTCACGTGGGTGTCAAAGAAGGAACCCATTGTGACCCTGTCTACATGTGAAGCTGAGTATGTTGCGGCATCTTGGTGTGTTTGCCATGCAATATGGCTAAGGAATTTACTAAGCAAGCTGGAGCAAGGGCAAGTCGGCGCAACCGAAATCCGAGTTGACAACAAGTCTGCAATCGAGTTAGCAAAGAACCCGGTCAATCATGAGAGGAGTAAGCATATTGATGTCAGGTTTCATTTCATCCGAGATCAAGTCAAAGAAGGAAAAGTGGAGCTCACTCATGTTACAAGCCGAGATCAAGTTGGAGATATTTTTACAAAGCCCCTGCCGACGTTGTTGTTTGAAAATTGCAAGAAGAAGATGGGAATGAAGGATGGTAGAGATATTAAAGTTTAAGGAGGAGTTTTGTTGGGTTTTAAACTTTATTTGAATAAAAGAAAATAGAAAATGAAAGGTTTTTTTGGTGAAGAGGTGTGTCTCTTAGGAATTTGTTAGTGGACATTAATGAGTTTAAAGTTTCTAAGAAGTAGTCATTAATGTGTTTAGATTTCCTAAGTTAGTCATTAGTATTTCTAGTTATTTGCTATTGCTTTTAAATAGTACCATGTAAATCATTTGAATGTAAGGCTTGAATGTTAAAAGATATACAAAGAGGTATATTCAGAGAACTCCTTGTGTGAGTGAAGTGTTTGAGAGAAACACCATTAGAGGACCTGCGATTCACACATATGAGGTAGCTATGCTACCTAGCTAGTAGCTTATAATAGTTAATCAAACTATGATATGACAATATCTAAAGAGTGTAATGAATCATTGGACTTGAGGTGGTTCCTGCAAGTGGGGCAAGAAGAATGAGAAAGCAACCACTTATCAATGCAAGCAACATGGAAACGGTGATTGCAACTTGGGAGGAACCTTAACTTGTCACCATCAGAGAAATCTACTAAGCAAATGACACAAATAGAAGCTGAAGATGGAGTAGAACCAGAATGGTTGTAAGTTGAGGTTGGCAAAGCTACCATTTCTTTCTTCTTGAGGCCAGAATTGAGCCTGCGAGAAACAATCCATTGCTGAGGCTGTGTAAGGACACGGTTAGCACATTGGAACACACATTGTAACCTTGTGTTGAGGCCAAGAGCACAAACAAAAGCACAAACAATGGCTGCTATAAGAACCATTAAATTGAAACCAGCTGCAGCAGGTTCTGAAGGATTAATGCATGGTTTGCTTATGGTGGGGCTAATAGTGGGTGCTCCTGTGGGAGTGAGTTTGAAAGTGAATTTCAGCCATGGAGTATGAGAAGTTATAAGGAAATTTTGGTACATAAAGTGGAACACATAGAAACGTACAAGCACAAAGGAACGTATATTGCAGGTAATTACACAAAATGAAAGTGATGAAATTGGTGGGGTAAGGGCATAAGATATTGCTTACTTGATAATCCACTTTCTTTCTCTCTTTTTTTTTTTTTTTGTTTATGCGCTTCAAAGGAGTGTAAAAAGCAATAAGTGATTATTTTCCTACTTTGCTCTCTCCTCTTCTATGATACATGAATTTTGAGCTTGCCGATATGTACTTGGATTCATTTAGCATACTCATACCAATCCTAATAATTTTCTCAATCTTTAGGAGAGTTTGCAATAATATAATTGATCAGAACCATTTCACGTAGGATATTGGGCTAGTCCATGAAGGGCCCAACAGGCCTAACGCCTAAGGTTTCATGGTTAAGGAAATGCAGTCATCGCATATAAATTGGCAATCCGCCAATCCCGCAAGTACTCTTACACATAGCATCAGCTCAATTTATTATCGCTGCACGACATCAGCAGCTCAGGATTCTATAATCACCCTAATAACTAATGGCTAAGGGATAGGCACCTAGCTAGCTCTAACAGTAATGCCTATGAGGCATAGCTCATAAATAGACATCTCACACAAGATAGCCAATAAGAGCCATCATTGTGCATTTATGAGATTAAGTACTGCCATACTAAGGTGACATAAATAGGACAGTTAACTACTAAATAGAGGCTTGGAACCCGAGTATGATCATCTTTCTCATCTTAACCGAATTCTTATTACTCATATACTGACATGAGAATCAGAATGTTTTGTAGTCTCAAACAAATAAGAGATAATAAGTTAATTGTGGTGGAGCAAATCAATCAGAAAATCATTTCAATATAACAAGTTAGGGAATAATATTTCTCATGTTATATGAGATAATCTTATTTCCTACACACATGAGGCCCATGTGGGTCCATGTAAAAAAAATAAGAGAGAAAAAGAAAATATGGATCCCACATATTTTTATATGTATAAGAGAAATTTATTTTCTATAATATGAGAAATACTAAACCCAATAAGTTAATATCATCAAACTTCAAGGTAGCTTTTTTTTTTCTCATATATTTTTCAAATTTATATGAGAGTTGATTCCATCTCTTTAATTCGTTAAATCTTTTTTTTTTTTTAACTTAATTCTCTATTTCTAAGGCAGTTCAATCAATTTATTAAATTAGTTTTTGTCATCACCAACCTTCACAAAATACAGATGTGATGGAATTCATAATATATATATATATATATATATATATGTGTGTGTGCGTGTGTGTTAGAAAAAGTTGTATTAAAGTGAGCATGTTCTTAAATCATATAAGTAAAGTTGTTGTATTCTGAATTTATTTAATTTAAATTATGACGTGATTTTATTAAATCATTAAAATTTAGAAGTGAGTACACCTTACTTATGCACTTTAAACATAACTATTTTATATAATAGAAGCTCTTCCATTAATTATTTTTTCCATCTATAGATTTTGAAAATATGACTTTTTGACCTTTTTGTTCTTCATTAATTACAAAATAATCATTTTGTCCCTCACCCAAAATAATTCACCCATTTGCCCATGTTTAATCGATTAAACCACGACCTTAATCGATTAAATAATCAAAATATTCCAAAAGCGTTGAACCCGTTGTTTAATCGATTAAGCCGCAGTTGTTTAATCGATTAAACAACGTCAGAAACCCTATATCTACATATCTCAGTCTCATTTCACTTATACTCATTTTTTACACCAAAATCTCTCTCGTTTCTCATCTCTAGTTCAACTCATCAAGAGGCTATTTATTCCCACCATCTCTAAAGCTTTAATCTTGTGAAATCATTGTCATTACACTTACATATTCCATTTGTTCTGGTACCCAAAAAATCCAAACCCTAGTCCCAATTTAGTGTGAAAGATGAGCTCAAGTTCAAACACGTATGTTACACTTATCTACCACAATGGGAGGAATTTTGAAGGTTCCAATAGTGTCCAATTTGAAGGAGAAATACAAATGATAAAAATCAAATGGAGCACTACATATAACGAGTTCAAGGAGAGAATTCACCAAAAACTAGGCTACAGGCAGCCAATGTATTCATCAGTTGATAGCCAGGGTAGAAACTATAGTTGGTAATGATTATGTATATTACATTCGTAGCAATATCTGTGATGATGAAGATGTGAAGTGTGTCTTAGATGCATTTGGTAACCGAAAATTTCAAATTTTAATTGAGATATATGTTGAAGTTGATTATGGTCAGTCGTCATCTCCACCCATGCATACAAGAAGTCCACAATATTTTGGTCAAGAAGACAGAGTTGTCGATTTATCTGCACCTACACAAGGGTTAAGTCAGATAACATTGAGGGAAGGAGAGGAGGAGGAGGATCTGGAGAGCGATAAGGAGGGAGAATCTGAGAGTGATATTCCACTAGGTGACACCTCAGATACTGACGTGGAGGGTGATTTTGATGCTGACACGAACCAATAAACCTGAGTTTCCTAGTTATGCCACCACTTTATGTTGACCCAATTAGCAGTGGTAAGTTAGTAAATTAAAGTTTTTATTTAACATTTCATATTTGTGCTATTATTGGTACTGACAAAAATGTAATGATTTAGACGTAGGGCCTGAGATTGAGCCATTTTGGAACGAAAATATAATTTCCCTCAGCATAAGATTTAATTAATAGCATGTAATTACGCAATTAATCTTGTATTAGTGGGTTGAATTAGGTAAAGTATCTAATTAAATGAATTAGGGTCACTTTTGAGGTAAAAAGTGCAGTCAGTGAAAATTATGAGGTAAAAATGTGTGTAAGCAAAAATACCCAAAATATAAAAGTAAAAGTAAAAATATCCTAGAAAAATATTCAGACCTCTGGGTAAAGTTTGAAAGAGAACGGAGTTAACTAGATAGATAAGCTTTTACCCGGTGAAAATAACTTAACTATGTTAAGTTGTGAAACACAAGCTAAACCCACACTTTCCTTCTTCTTCTTCTGTGATGGGAATAGAGAGTGAGAGGGAGAGAATCCAATTTTGAAGCCCAAACCCTAACTCACTCATCTCCCACCCAAATCAATCCATTCCAAAAGCAAACTTGCATCTTCAAAACCCACCACTCCTTGTTAGTTGGGAACCATTGTAGGTGCAAATCTTGGCTTGTTTGGGGGGGGGGGTGAAAAAATTAAAGACTGGAGGAGTTTAGAGGCTTTTCCTTCAAGGGGAGTTTAGGAGATCAACATTCCTTGGTTGTGTGACCTTGTGTGGTAAGTTTTCACTCCTCAAACCTTGTTTCCATGGAGATTGCATGAGGTTGAAGATGATGAATATTGATTTTGTGATTTTTATGACTTTGAGTTAGATTCAAGCTAAATCCTTTTACAAATGTTGTTAGGAATGATGAATAAATGGTAGAAATGAATTTAGATAGTCATTTGATTATACTATGAAAATTGCAAGAATATATGCTTGGTTTGTGGATTTTCTTGCATTTGTAAGCAATGGTTTGGTTGGATATTGATTGTGTCTATGTGATTGCTAGGATTGAGGCAATTGGACCATCCTTGAGTGACCAACCATTGGAGGAAGCTATGGAGGTTGATTAGCTCACTTGAATTGGTGAGTTTAGGCCTAATGTATGGCAATTGGTTGTTTTATGGTGGATGAACATATTGATATTCATTGATGGTATTTATGGATTGTATGATACCTTAATGTAGGTATTAATTTGTGAAGCTTGGTTGATTGCACATTGGTGGTGAACAAATGTTGAGTTGGAAGCAAATTGAGGTAAGTCTTCGGATCTTGGGAATTGATTCCTTAATTGTTCCAGCAAGCCCTGAATGGGTAGTGATTGTTGATAGTATATGCAATAAAGTAGTTTGATGCTTTGTTATACGTATGTGTATGCACTTAGTGTGGCACATGATGGTGTTTCCCTATGTTGGTATGTTGCATGATGATGCGTAATTCATACTTGGTAGTTTAGCTGACCAGTAGGACTATTTGCATATGAGTATCCTTAGGACAACATGAGAGCTCGAGGGGTGTCTCATGGAGCTGTTTTACACACTGTTTGAATATGTATTTACTACATTATTTACTGATTATTGTTATTATACTATGAGTTAACTATGGGGTGGAGAAATACTCCAAGGACCCCTGGTTTACCGAGGTATATTCGTATATCTTACTCCGTGATGTGGGGACCCCTTTTCAGGTACAGATGCTGCAGGAGCCTCTTGTGGCAAGTGGCCATACTTGGACTAGATTGATACATGAGGATGTTGCATTATTTTGATTATGCATGTCATTTAGTAGTTCCTATGTATAGGATTTATATTTGAAAGTCATTTGATATATGTACAGCATGCTTGATTTTGGTGGACTTAGCCTATGCTTATCTCCTTTGATGTTTCTTTTGTTGATGGGAGCCAAGGATTTAATCATAGTGTTTTGTAGCTAAGTCCTAGGGATATGTATTAAAGACATTTGAATATTGTGGAATATTGTACTTATTGTATATATGATGGAAGGGCATGGATGCCTATTTTGATAAATGTGTGTGTCTTGAAATAGCTAAGAATCGTATAATGAAGTGGTTGTATAATGTCTATTAGGTGAACGAAAACCTTTGGGGTTGAGAATCAATGTAAATATAAGGATATAATGTCTTTTTGTCTATTTTTCATATCCTATATGAGAGATTTGGACCCTTGTATCTTAATGGAAGTTATAGATCCTTTTCTTAGCTTTCCAACGAGACCAAGATTGCATCAATCGGATAAGTATAACTCAAGTTACGGGTAAAATACTAAAGTAGGGTGAAATCACCAGATTGGCGCTGTTAGCGTGGGAAGACGTGAAGAAGTCAGTATTTCTGCGCTACCAGCGCGGGTTTCGCGTTTTCAGCGCAGGAACCCTGTGAATTCAACACATTTTCTTCAAAAATTCATAACTTGAGCTACGGTACTCCAAATTAAGCGCGGTTTGAACCCATGCGTAACTAATGAAGAGATCTATAACATAGTGGGAAATGAGGGCCATAAAAGTAGTACAAAATTCCTTAAGTAAATAAAAAATAGAGATGTTTAGTGTTGA